CTCTACTCCGATATAGAGGCTGCGTATCATTATTTGACGCATGATTGTGGTACCCCCGAAGACCATATTGTCTGCTACGGCCAGTCCATCGGTAGCGTGCCCTCAATCGACTTGGCCTCCAGGACAGCTGTCGGCGGGGTTGTGCTGCACGGCGCCCTCAAGAGCGGGCTCGGGGTCATACACGACGTGAAGGCCACGTACTGGTTCGACGTGTTCCAAAACCTGTCACGGATCAAGAACGTCCGGTCTCCCGTCTTCGTGATCCACGGGACGCACGACGCGGAGGTTCCCTTCGATCACGGCCTGGCGCTCTACGAGGCGTGCCCCGAGGAGCACGCCTACGACCCCTGGTGGGTCAAGGAGGCTGGCCACAACGACGTCGAGACCAAGCACAGGGCCATGTATTTCGAGCAGCTCGCCGGCTTCTTGAAGGCGCTCGACGGCCAGGACAAGCGGCGGAGACGGCGCCCAGGCGCCGGCGACGACGCCGAGAACGACCAGGACTACTGCCCAGGCGGCGGCTCGAAGCCACTCCTGAGCGGCACAACGAGAGGCGGGCCAGCCGGCAGACGCCACTGAGCGTTGAGAATTCATGCGCCGCTACTCGTCGACGGCGGGCATGCACAGTCAGAGGGCCTGGCACTGAGCTGCGGATTGCAGCTGGGATCGTGCAGCGGGTGTCTCTCTGCCAGAGGGAGCCTCTGTGATGGTCCGCCTCTGCTCCTCTCGTTGTTCCTCATACCGGCTCGATCAGCCACGCTCTCTGTCGCTGGGCTTTTCCCTCCCAGACCTTCTCCACTGCCCCCTCCTGAGGACCCAGATCCTTGCACGCAGCTAGGGATCAACATTGGTCTGCGGAATACGCGAAGGAAAATCGTCAGCTCGGCCGTCTCCTGTCGGCCAGCTGAAATGCCGGCGGATGTCCGAGGTGCTGAAACGTGGTGGTGACCATGTCCAGGAGGAGAAATTAGAGGGAGTTGGCGGAGGAAAAGGATGAGAAGTGCCAAATGTTCGCGTTGCAGTGTTGGCTAGACGTCGTTCAATTCTACATCTTCCTTCGGATACGTGCGCGACAACACGTTCCTGCGTGCGTCTGCATTGGCTTAGCCTGCCCTGGGTACTCACGCTTTGATCTGTTATGCTGGTGATTTCCGCTGGCGTCACTTCTTTAGCATTCCTTGTGCATGGGTGGGGCCAAGCAGGGCAAGCAACAAAAATGAGATGGTATTCTGTGGGGGAGAGGCCAGACGATTTCGCACGGTTTCATGGCCTCGACGTTAGTTTCGAATCTTCTTGGTAGTCTGGATGAGGTGATTGGAGATGGTTGTGCTGTGTTGCATTGGATTTGCCAGCTCCTGGACTTATTTCTTGCTCACTCGCTCCTCCTGGTCACCCGCCCCTTGCTCAGTCGCCCCTTCTGGTCCTTGTCTTGCTTATTCGCTCCTCTCCCTTGGGCCACGCATTTATAACGGGGTCATCTGCGCCGACATTGGCGCTCAAGCTGCCCGCGTAAGGTCGCGCGTAAGCGCCCTCGCTTCAAATGTGGCGTACCGCGCGGGCGGCCCGCGTAAGCCGCCGCGTAAGGTCGCTATGTCATCTCGCGTAAGACCCGTTTTAGATCGTCGCTCAGTTCTTGCTCCTGACTTGCTCAGTCGCCGGATGTTGCTCTCACTCTTGACGCTCAGCGTACCCTTACCGACCCATCCATGACCGATCTCCAGGCGAGCTGCGCCGAGGGAAGAGCAGCAGCATACGCATTCCAGGAGTGAACCACGTGTTGCGATGTGCTCGCGCATCTTTAAAAGAGAGAGGATGAGGAGGCAGGAGGAGGAAGCTTAGGAGGAATAGGGAGGAGGATGAGGAGAAGGAGGAGGAGGAGGAGGAGGAAAGGAGGAGGAAGCGGAGGAGGGAGAGGGATGAGGAGGAGGAGGAGGAGGAGGTCGAAGAGGCAGAGGAGGCGGCGAAAGAGGAAGTGGGCGATGGGACATGATGGAACAAGAACAGGGCGACGAGGATGACGGCGACCGTGACGGCGACGACGACGGCGGCGGCGACGACGACAACAGGATCCGACTACAAAATCCGTCGCGGGTCTTTCTCTCAGGGATCTTCTTGAAGCCATCTTGGGGTATGCGATCGCCTTAGTTGGAAGCCTTTGGTTTAGGGTTGTCTTGGCGCCCTCTTTGGGAGCCTTGGGGGCAATCTTGGGGTCAACCTGAAGGACGTCAACAAAGGAAGTGGATGTTCCTACTTCGGCCCCTCCTGAGCGTGAGCAATCGCCTCCATGGGGCCGTCTTCGGACGCTCTTGGGGCGCTGTTGGGCGTTGTGGGGGCCGTCTTGGATCCCCGATGAGCCACTCTTGGGGCTCTCTTGAGCGATCGTGGAGCATCTCGAGGCCTCAGGAGCGCATCGGAAGCGAAAAGGCGGGAAGGCGCATCTCATGTTCTTGTTGAAGGTGTCGGAAGAATTTGGACCCCTGCAGGGCGTCCTTGTGAGGCTCCGTGGCCGCTCGGAGCCGCCCTGGGGCGGTTCGGGTTTTTGCTTGGAGGCATCGTGCAGGCAATGTTGAGACGTCTTGCTCCATCTTGTGCCATCGTGAGCCATCTGATGCTCTCTCGGACGCCATGCTGAACGCCCTGGCTGGTCGCGAAGCCCTCCGCCGAGGGGAGGGGGAGGTGGGGGGCGTGTGTGTGTGGGGGGGTAGGGTAAACCCCTTCCCGAAGGGGCAGACCCTGAGATCTGACGTAGCAAATAATGTGCAACACCCTAAAATATCACGCCCAGAGCCCTAGACCTCATCCGTCTGCGTTATTTTTCGAGCCAGATCGGCATGAGGGTCCCGGGGCCCGAAATGAAGCGAAAACGCGCGTTGCGAAAAAAACTGCAAAGCCAGGATCCCAGGGAGGGGAGGGGAGGTGGGGGGCGTGTGGGGTGGGGTGGGGGGGGGGTAAACCTCTTCCCTAAGGGGCATAAGGGGGTTGGAACAGGATCTGGACCACCTCCGCCTAGAGTCAGGAGGGAAAAACACACAGACACAATGAATCGTCGATTCCCAGGAAAACACGGGAAAATATGGAAAGTGAGGGGGAAGACGAAAACCCAGAAAATGCAAGAAGACATGTGGAATCCTGGGATTTGTGTGTACTTGGTCTCCCTGGGCCCCTTCGTAGAGGGCTGGTGGGACTCGGGGTCGTGATCCGCACGGCCCCCCTGGTGCGCCCCCTGTTTTCTCCCCCTGCTCCTCACCGTCGTGCCCGTCCTTCCTTCTGTCTCGCCGGAGCTCCTGGACGAGACGCCCCTCAAACAGCTGCATCAGCATGCACTTTCAGACGTCCACGCGGGTTTGTTGGACCTGCGCGGGGGGCCCTCCTCGCCCTCCTCCCCTCCCTCGTTCTACTCCTCAGGCTCCTCCTGATCCTTCCTCTTCCTCCTCTTCCTCCTAATCCTCTCTCCATCCTTCTCCCCCCCCTCCTCATCATCCTTCTACTGCTACTCCTCCCACGGGTGACTACGCCAAAGCTTATGACCTTTGATGGCCCCAGTGCATCAGTGGACCATCAAAGTTAGTGCATCAACCCGTCCTCGCTGATGGCCGCCTCATCCTTTGAAGCCTATCGCGAGTTTGGTGGGCCTCCTCCTCCTCATCCTCCTCTTCGGCCGAAGGCACGAACCTGATTTGTAGGGAACAACAACTGACGGTGCTGCATGATTCTGTTGGCCTCGCGGGCAGCAGCGAAGCTCGAACAGCTCGGGCGAGACATTGATGCAAGACGCGGTGTCGGCGCTCTCATTTGGGCAAAATGGTACGCCTGGCAGTCGTCCGCGCGTGATCATTCCCCAAAGGGTGCTTGCATTTAGGGGTTCTTGCTTCTCCTCTAAGGAACTGGGCCGTAGGGTCGGTCTGGCGCCTATGTAACCGCCGTCACCGCCCCGTCGCCGACTCGTCGCCACCCGTCGTCTGGGTCGTGTGGTCAGTGTGGCGGTTATGTGGCCGCCGTCGCCGCCCGTCGCCAGGGCCTTGAGGCGCATTGCAATCCAATCGTTTGCAATGCAATCGCTGGCAATGCAATCGATTGCACTCGATTGCAAGTCATAGATGCCACCATATAGATTGCACCACACAGCTCACACGCCTGCAATACAATCGATTGCAATCCAATCGATGGCAATACAATCGATTGCAATTCAGTCGGTTGTAATCGACTTCATCGCATTGTTTGCACCACATAGTTCTCACAAAGTAAATGAGTGTGCTAGCTCCTACCACATAGATTGTTCCACATCTTTCGCACACCATATAATGCACCACAGATACTGCACCAGAACGTACTCACCACACATATATCATGTCACATGGATCGCGCAACATGGAGCGTGCACCATAGGTTGCACCACATCGATTGATCCACATATCTTGCGCAGCATAGGTGCACCATATATGTATATAGATATTGCACCACATAGGTTGCATCACGTATAGTACTTCACATACGTTGCAGGTTGTACAACATATACTGCGCCACATAGATAGTACAGCACAGATTACACACCACAAGTTGCACAGCATATACTGCACAACCTATATGGCACGCAGCAGGCAACATAAATGAGACAGCACAGATCGTACCAAACATATATCACAGCATATATTGGGCTTCATTCCTTGAGTGGTAAAAACACTGCGTAGACATAAACTCTCGGAGCTGCGAAAATTTATGATTATGCAGTCTGTTGTAATTCTAGCTTCTGCGGCACGCGAAACATGTGCTTCGCCTTTGTGGAGCAGCGGAGCAGTGGCGCACACTTCCAGATTGACTGCACGACTACGAACAGCGGTGGCACAGTTGAGACGCGAAACTGATTCGTGAGGAACTTGGGCACACCATCGACATGCTGCCCGGCGAACAATCAGGAGACAAGAACGAGCTCCCATTTTGCTCAATTGCCCTCATCCACCAGTCTGGCACGGTGAAGTGATGAGTAAAGGCCTCCCTCCGTGGCCATTCGGGCTCAAGGCTGTCGGAATTTCCAGCGAGGGATCCCCCACGCGCACGCCCCCCCGCCCGCGCGCGACCCTTGCGAGAAGGAGCGATGAAGACGCTGATGCAGGAGGAGGTCGTGAAGGTCCCGAAGGGCATCAAGATTTCTATCAAGTCCAAGATCGTGGAGGTCTCCGGCAAGCACGGTACCCTGAAGCGCAGCTTCAAGCATTTGCCCATCGAGTTGCGTTTGGCCAACAGCAGCAAAGAGGTCCGGGCCAGAATGTATTTCGCCAAGTCGAAGCAGCTGTCCATGCTCAACAGTTGTTGCAGCCACATCGCGAACCTCTTCACTGGTGTGGAGCAGCGCTTCCAGTACAAACTGCGCCTCGTGTACGCGCACTTCCCGATCAACGTCACGATCACTAATGGTGGTGGCACCGTCGAGATCCGCAACTTCCTCGGGGAGAAGATCGTGCGTACCGTGAACATGCTGTCGGGCGTGAAGATCGAGAAAAGCACGGCGACCAAGGACGAGCTCATTGTCACCGGTGCGGACATCGACCTGACTTCGCGCTCGGCCGCCCTCATCCACCAGTCTTGCCTGGTCAAGAACAAGGATATCCGTAAGTTCCTGGACGGCATCTACGTCAGCAGCCACGGTGCCATCGAGGACTGAGGTTGGCAGGGGCTGGTGCAGCAGCGCGTGATGACGAGAGATCCTTCGGCGCAAGCGGAAAACTCCACAAGATCAGCGGCGGCTTCACTCTTGCTTCTTCCTACTCGCCCGCATCCTTCCTTGTCCGCTGCCGCGTCATTGTCCCCCTGCCCTGGCCGTGCCACAAAGTCCCCGACAGCCTACATCCTCTACCCGCCACGTTCTACGCCTCGTTCTAGCTTCCCCCGCAGAAAAGGCCAGCTGGCATGATTCAACAAACAGTTCTTGAATTTGGGGATTCTTGTCTGTGTGTTCCAAACCCAGATATGCGACGTCATGATTTGTTCAATACGACGCCCCTGGAAGTCCCGACCCTTTCCCCGGGACTGGCTTTTCATCCTGAGTTGTTTTTGCACGGTCCCGAGGCCCGGCGAGGGCCCCCCGAGGCCGAAAGCGGACAAAAATTTCCCGTCCTGATTTTTGTTGCACGACGCGATCATGTCTGGGAAGGCGTGGCCCTCTTGTATGGCTCCCAACGGCCTGTCCCTGGCCCTCGCAGGTTCCCGTGGCTTCCCGTGGGTCCCTGCCTTCTCTTCCCTCCCCGCCCGCCCTGGTTGTCGCACGTACCCGCGGCGGCCTGGACCCTTCCGAGTCTGGCCTCCGACGGCTCTCCCTGCAAGTCGGGGGTGGCCAGGCGCGGGGGAGGACCAGGGGAAGAGGAGGAGGAGGAGGAGGAAGCAGGGAGGAGGTGGAGGAGGAGGAGGAGGAGGAAGCGGGGAGGAGGAGGAGGAGGAGGAGGAGGTGAGAGAAGAGGAGGAGGAGGGGGGAGGGAAGAGGGAGGAGGGAGGAGGTCGTATTCGAGGAGGAGGAGGAGGAGGAGGAGGAGGAGGAGGAGGGGGGCGGTGGGGGGTCCTGGCCGGAGCCACGACATCTCACTGGATCTCGCGGCCCCCGCTTCTGCCTTCGATGCGCTCCCTGCCCCCCCCCCTGCCAGTCATCCTCGCACATGCCTCTGGCCATGAATTGCGGGGCCCTCTCTCGGACGCCCCCGACACCTGTCGGTCGTTAAACGTATTTTTTTTTGGGGGGGGGATCCCAATCTACCTCAGGCGCCTTCCTCCTTCAATGATCGAGTGGTTTCGCCTTGTCCTTCCCCTTCACAGGGGGCGGGCGGGAGCCCAATCTACTTCCAACGCCTTCCTACTTCATGTTTCTACCCACTTCCGACCGACGGGTTTTGCTCTCATCCGCACTGACCTCGTTTGCTGAACTTCCCGGTGAGGCAGCACGGGAGTCATGTGCTCTGCTGGCCGGGGCTTGCGGTGATCGAGGGCAGCCCCCGTTGGGATCTCTGGCACCGGCGTATGACAAGCAAGCAAGCCCCGCCCTCAGCAGAGCCCGGCCAGCAAAACATCGATCCCATTCTTGTCTCGATGGAAGAGACCCAGACATGATCGCGTCGCCAAAAAAAAACATCGGGACGGGAGGTTTTTGGCCGTTTCCGGCCTCGGGGAGCCATCGCCGGGCCTCAGGACCGGCAAAAAACGATTCAGGATGAAAAACTGGTCCTGGCAAGGACCCCGTATTGAAAAATGCAGGACGTCGCATGTCTGGGGAAGCCGGGGGGCTCCCTGCAACACTGGGAACGCGGGGCCGCAATCAGGAAGAGAAGGAAGAGGAGGAGGAGGAGGAGGAGGAGGAGGAGGAGGAGGAAGAGGAGGAAGAGGAGGAAAGGAGGAGGAGGAGGAGGAGGAGGAAGGAGTAGGGGGAGGGGGAGGAGGGGGAGGAGAAGGAGGAAGAGGAGGAAGAGGAGGAGGGGGAGGAGGAGGAACCCTCCGCGCGAGGTATGCTGGCCCGAGCGCTGGGCCCCCCGTCCGCCCATGGGCTCGCGCCGTTCGCGCGGGGCCCGCCCGGATAGGTCAGCGGGCCTGCCAGCGGGCCCGGCGGGGAGATGGTGCGGGGTGCCCAGGCCGCCGTGTACGACGAGTACCTGGAGGACTCTTCTGCGCCGGGGCGGGGCTCTCTGGAGAGCGGAACAGCTCGCCCTCCTTTCATCCGTTCTTCCTCCGTCTTCTTCCTCCTCCTCCTCCCTCCTCCTCCGCCTCCTCCTCCTCCTCCTCCTTCTTCATCCCCTCCTGCCCCTCCTTCTGTTCCCCCTTCTCATGCTCCCTCATAATCCTCATCATCTTCAGCAGCATCATCATCATCCTCATCTTCATCCTCATCGTCATCATCGTTCCTGTTTCCTTCTACCCCGCCTCCGCTTCCTCCGCCGCCGCCTCCTCCTCATCATCACCGTCGCTATCAGCATTAACATCATCATCATCACCAGCAGCAGCATCATCATCACTAGCAGCAGCAGCAGCATCATCCTCATCATCATCATCATCATCATCATCATCATCATCATCATCATCATCACCAACATCATCATGATAATCGTCATCATCAACAACATCATCGTCGTCATCATCATTAGCAGTATCATTATCAGCATCGTCATCATCATCAGCGGACTCATCAACATCATCATCAGAAGCAGCATCATCGTCATCGTTATCAGCATCATCACCACCATAATCATCCTCAACATCAACAGCAGAAGCATCATCGTCGTCACCATCATCATCATCATCATCATCATCATCATCATCATCATCAGCATCATCGTCATCACCGTCACCATGGTCATCATGGCCCTCATCGTGACAGTATCACCAACATCATCAGCATCAGCATCATCATTATCATCAGCATTGTCAGTTTCAGTATCGTCATCATCGTCACTCTCATTATAACCCTCACCATCAGCATCGCCACCATCAACCTCATCATCATCATCATCATCATTCCCATGATCATCGCTATCATCATCATCATCACCATCATCATCATCACCATCCCCCTTCTCCGCTCCTCCTCCTCAGCCTCGTCCATTCCTTTTCCTCATGACTGTATCCTCCCTGTCGCATCCTAAGGCCAGTCGGAAGGGCGGGCTGGGCGTTTCGCTTGAGACTTCTTTATCATATATGAGTTTGAAGCTTAGAAGCTGGCAGGCGCTTCACAGATGGAGGACGGGTGGTTCTCAAATGTGACTCTCGCTTTATCGCCGCGCACACTCGTCTTAAGCATCTGGAAGAGCTGCACGGATTGAGGGCCGCTCGTTTTCAAAATGTGGTTATCGCATCAGCCCCGCGCACATTCGTTCTAAGCAATTGCAAGATCTTCGCCCGTTGAGGGCGGCTCGTTTTCAAAATGTGGCTCTCGCCTTAGAGCCGCGTTCATTCGTTTTTAACAATTGCAAGAGCTTCGCGGATTGAGGGCGGCTCGTTTTCAAAATGTGGTTCTCGCCTTAGCGCCGCGCACAGTCGGTTTTGAGGGCGGTTCGTTCTCAAAATGTGGTTTCGTCTGAGCGCCGCGCACATTCGCTTCAATCATGTACCGGAGTTTCACGGGTTGTCATGGTCAAAACGTACCAGAAATTGCGTGTTGGAGCGTTTCAAGATTGTCAGGGCGCAACAGTTACATTAATTCGCGCGTTGGAGTCCCAGGCATGGCGTTTTGGCACCATTCAGAATCATCAAAACGCAACAGTCAGGTTGACCCGTGGCGGAGCATGATGCTTTGGCACACTTCAGGGTTTTCACACGGCTGTCTCCCAACGGGGCATTTCCCTCAGCGAAGATGAATCTTTGTAGGGGCCTCTGAAAAGGGAGCGTGGAGGGAGGGTGTATTCTAGCATCGTTGATGAGTCTTGGGTTTACGCTGGTCCTCCTCCTCCTCCTCCTGCTCCTCATCCCCCTTCTCATCCTCCTGCCTCTCCCTCTGCTCCCCCATCCCGCTTCTCCTCTTTCTCCCTCTTCCCCTCCGCCCCCTTCAGCGCACGACGAGCACCCAGAGGAATCCGCTGCAGATCCTGGCCGTGCCGACGCGGCAGCGACCTCAGCGCGGGCATGCGAGGATGAAGGCCACCAGCGCCTGGGAAAAGTAAACAGTATGAATATTGTAGTTGTACTACCAATCAGAAAGGATGTAGATCAACAGTACTGAAGTTGTACTACCAAGTTGTAGTATAATGAAACACTATGAAAGAAGACATAATTAATACTACTCTCCGTCTTCCCCTGAAGTTGGCCGGAAGATCTCCCACCCGCTCCGCGCGCGTTTTTTTCGCGTTGGATTTCAAACAACGTATTATTTTGTAGTGTGTTGCACTCCGATTGTCTTCGGTGTTTTCAAATCGTGTTCCCGCCGCAGCGTGGTCTTTATTTTCGGATCGGTGCTTTGCTCCTGTCGTTCAGAATAACGTTTTCACCCCAGCGCGGACAACTTTTTGGGATCAGAATATTGCTTCACTGTGGTCTCCCGTCTCATTTCCCCTCCTCCGCTTTCCCCTGGAATTCCTCTCAATCCGTCCGCTTCAGTTCCTGCTGGTGCTGTTCGTCCTCATCCTTTCCCTCCCGCTCATCCTCCTGCTCACCCACCACGTCCTCCCTTGCACGCAGCTCCCCTTCTCCGATTGCGCATAACGCGAAGTGGTTTTTCTGTGGGAGTAGCAGGTCGGCTATGACACGCGTCCGCGGATAGAGACAAATCAGCGCCATGGGAAGGGATGGGAGCGAGGGAAACGATGTCTGATGAGGCGCGAGCGCGCCTAGCTTGACCGTCTCCCCCTCTGTCCCTTCCTCCTTCCCCTCGTTCCTCTCCCTCCTCCCTGCTCCCCGCATCCCTGCTCCGCCCCTCGTCGTTTCCCTTCCTTTGCCCCCTTCTCTGTATGCTCGACCCCCGTGCCTCCCATCAGCTTGCTCTCCATCTGCCCCGCTTGCGGGAGCCCCTGAGACAGCACGCTCTGAGGACAGGATGAGGGTCGTCCTCGAGGCCCTCGTGGAGGCGCTGCTCTTAGAAATAGTGGATTCTCCGATGGTGCCTTCATCCGTCCTCCTCCCCCCCCCTCTCCCCATCACCATCATCATTCCACTCCTCCGCCCTCTTTCCTCCTCGCCCTCCTCCTGTTCCCCACCCCTCGTTCACTTCTCCTCCTCGTCCTCCTCGTCCGCCGTTGGCCACGCGCTGGGTGCTAGAACCCAGGACGTCTGAGAGCACGCAGAAATGCCCCCTTCGTGCGACGTGTGTGGTAGACTTCTGATGACTTCGGCTGCCTTGCGGGGGGGAGCCGCGCGGTAGTGAGGAGAAGTTTCGGCGCGGCCTTGAGCAGAGCGTCCTAGGATGTTGCTAGCTCGGCCGTTTGCTTCATGAGCGCAGAGTCGCAGAGACGATTGGTTGGGACAAGGAGAGTCGAGCAGACGAACGGACAGAAGAGGCGACCGCGGCTGAGGCCGCTGGTCAGAGGGCCCACGGGCCGCGGCAGGTCTCCACCCGCCCCCCCGCCTCTTCCTCCTCCTCCTCCTCCTCCTCCTCCTCCTCCTCCTCCTCCTCCTCCTCCTCTTTCCCTCCTCCTCCTCCTCCTCCTCCTCCTCCTCCTCCTCCTCCTCCTCCTCCTCCTCCTCCTCCTCCTCCTCCTCCTCCTCCTCCTTTTAATCAGCATCATCAGCAGCATCCTTGTTCATGTTTATGGTACTCTGCCAGGGCTCTGGGCTCAGGCTTTGCATAGCATACACAGCTAGCCTGCGGTCCTCTGTTTCGGCCAGACCGACTCCGCAAACACGGTTGGAGTTTTGGCATCCGCCACGCGCAGTTTGCAGGCTTCTTCTGGGGTCCAGTTTGGTGTGGTGGTGGCAACGGCTGTCACGGTACATCTTCGTTCCGCTGCTTTGCCTACTCGGCATTTGCATTGCCACCCCGATGGCGCATCAATGTCGTCACTGGTTCTCTGCCAGGATTGTGGGCTCAGGCTATGGAGTACACAACTGGCCGGCGGCCCGTTGTTTCGGCCAGACCGATTCGGAGTGTGAACAGGCGACTGTAGGCAGCCCGTAGGATTATCGAGAGGGCCTACCCCCATTTTTTTCTAATATTGCGCATTTCGCGGTCCCCGCCACGACGCGCTTATTTCGAGGTATTTACTTGAAGGCGTCCACCTCGAGGTCCTACATGTCGAGGTCGTTCCACCTGATGGACACTTGGGCGCGATGCCGGCTCCTTGGCCGCAGTCGCACTGCCCCCAGTGGTTTCGCCCACCAGGCCCCGCTGCACCGCCATTATGCCTTCATGGCAGCAGGGCGTCCGCGGCGGGGCCCAAAAGGGCAGTCCAACCCGGCTGGCCCAACCTCCTCTCTTGCCCCTGCTGGCCCAACCCGAGGCAGCCACTGACTGCCAATACCTTCCCACCTCGTTCACGCGCTCCTCCGCCCAACCCCAAGCAGTGCCGTGTACTACGCCCCCGTCTTAGCCTCTAACGGTGCGCGATACCGTTTTCTCAAATGCGCTTCCCTTCCTCTTTCTCCCGCCCCCTCCCCCTCCTCCTCCTCCTCCTCCTCCTCCTCCTCCTCCTCCTCCTCCTCCTCCTCCTCCTCCTCCTCCTCCTCCCCTCCTCCTCCTCCTCCTCCCCCTCCTCCTTCCTCCTCCTCCTCCTCCTCCTCCTCTCCCCTCCTCCCCTCCTCCCTCTCCTCCTCCTTCTCCTCCTCTCCTCTCCTCCTCCTTCCTCCTTCCTCCTCCCCTCCTCCTCTTCCTACATCTTCCTCCCCTACTCCTCCTCCTCCTCCTCCTCCTCCTCCTCCTCCTCCTCCTCCTCCTACGCTCCTCCTTCTCCTCCTCCTCCGCATCCCTCATCCATCTCCGCCTCCCTCCTCCTCCCCCTCCTCCTCCTCCCCTCCTCCTCCTCCTCCTCCTCCTCCTCCTACTCCTCCTCTCCTCCTCCTCCTCTCCTCCTCCCTCCTCCTCCTCCTCCTCCTCGCTCCTCTCCTCCTCCCCTCATCCTCCTCTCTCCTCCTCCTCCTCCTCCTCCTCCTCCTCCTCCTCCTTGTGCTCTCCTCCTCCTCCTCCTCCTCCTCCTCCTCCTCCTCCTCCTCCTCCTCCGCCCCTCCTCCTCCTCCTGCTCCTCCTCCTCCTTCCTCCTCCTTGGGCTCTTCCTCCTCCTCCTCCTTCTCCTTCTTCTTCCCCTCCTCCTGCCCTCCTCCTCCTCGTACTCCTCCTCCTCCTCCTCCTCCTCCCTCCTCTCCTCCTCCTCCTCTCCTCCTCCCTCCTCCCCTTCCCCTCCCTGTGCTCCTCCTCCTCCTCCTCCTCCTCCTCCGCTTCCTCCTCCTCCTCCTCCTCCTCTTCCCCTGGGGGGGGTGGGACTTCCGCTGGCCAGCTTCGATCGAACAACGTCATCATGGGATTCCAAGGCCCTTGCATGCTCATCACGCATGCTTACTATATGGGTTGACTGTCCTCGTCACCACCCGGGCTGCGCATCGGCTTTGGTGGGGGCCTCCTCCTCCTCCTCCTCATCCTCCTCCTCTTCCTCCTCCTCCTTCTCCTTTTCCTTTTGTTCCTTTTCCTCCTCCTCCTCATCCTCCTCCTCCTCCTCCTTCTCCTTCTCCCCCACCTCCTTTTGCTCCTCCTCCTCCTCCTCCTCCTCCTCCTCCTCCTCCTCCTCCTCCTCCTCCTCCTCCTCCTCCTTGTGCTCCTCCTCCTCCCCTCCTCCTCCTCCTCCTCCTCCTCCTCCTCCTTGTGCTCCTCCCCCTCCTCCTTCTCCTCCTTCTCTTCCTCCTCCTCCCTCTCCTCCTCCTCCTCCTCCTCCTCCTCCTCCTCCTCCTCCTGTTCCTCCTTCTCCTCCTCCGCCTCCTCCCCCTTCTCCGATCAGCCCCAATCCCCCATTCCTTTCCCACCTCGCTCGCCCGCTCCTCCGCCCAACCCCAAGCAGGCCCGCTCCACTGACTCGGCTGTCCCCCTTTCTTGGAGACGTACTGCTACCAGCGTGGGCCCCGAACAGTGGGGAAAGGAACTGTGGAGTAGGGTGCCAGCCGCGCTTCTGCCCGGCCACCAGATGGCACACATCATCATCACTTGCAGCGTCATCATCTCTGGAAGTCTGCCAGGACTCTGGGCTAAGGTCATGCATTGCATACCCTGCATGGAGCGGCGTGATTCCTAACAAATTCGAACATTCACACCCGGGAGGTGGGCTGATCAGAAATTGTCCGGGTCCAAGTGCGCGCACCTCCTCTCCACCCTTTCTCTTCTGCGTCCTTCTTCAGCATCCTCCTCCTCCTCTTCTTCCGCCTCTCCGAGCACGGGCGCCTCAGCCCACCCTGAGATCCGATGTAGCGCAAAATAAAAGGCAGCATCGTGAAACATCACGCCCGGAGTCGGATCGATCTGTGAGGGTCCCGGGGCCCGAAAAAGGGCGAAAATGCCCGGCTCGAAAAAATTGAGGCGCTAGGATCTCGGGGCACCTGCATTCTTCTCCCCCTCGTTGGTTTCTTGCTGCCTGTCCTGCCCCGCTCGCCATCCTCAACCTCTTTACCGGTCTTTTCGGAGCGCGCCGGCCCATCCTCATTCTTCCTGCGTCCTTCTACCGACACCATGTTGGGACCCGCTCGTTACATCCCTCCGTCGTTTCGGCGGGCTGGGCGTGGGCCTTCAAGCTAAGGCCATGGGCGAAAAGCGTGCCTTCCGGTGAGGGCTCTCACTTTCGCGCCTTCCTCTTCCCCCGCGCCCTCCTCCTCCCCGTCTGCAGTCTCCTCCTCCCGCCCGCTTCCCTCCCCTTCAGCATGATTGCTCCCGCCCCTCCCGCCAGATTCTCTCTCCCCGCCACCTGGGCGCACCTTCCACGAGGGCAGGCCCACCATTCCAGGCGGTGCCCGGGCGGCGCCACGCGAGAGCGACATCGCGCCGAGCGCGAGGGAGGGGTCGTCATGCGCTCGGGAGGAGCAGACTTGGCTTCGGCCCTGGCCACGGCGCTGCCCGGTGCAGGGCGCCACTCCCTGAGGTCCTGACGTTGCAATTTTTGTCGCAATCGGCGTTTTCGCTCAATTTCGGGTCCCAGCACCCTCAAAGATCGATCCGGCTCGAAAAGTGGCGCAGAAAGATGGGGTCCGGGGCTCCGGTCGTGATTTTTTGCGACGGCGGACTTCAGGGCTCCTGCACAGTCCTCGTGTGGGTTGCTAGCCGGTGCGCGCCCCCGGTGGCAATCGGCAGCAGGCTGCGAGCTGGGGGGGGGCTTCCCCAGGCGACGGGTGCCCCCCCTTGGTACGTGATCCTTCCTTGGCACAGGGATTGCTCAAAGGCAACCCGCTCGCAGACCTGGCTGTTTGGTTAGTGATCCTCCTCCTCCTCCTCCTCCTCCTCCTCCTTCTCCTCCTTCCCCTCCTCCTCCTCCTCCTCCTCCTCCTCCTCCTCCTCCTCTCCTCCTCTCCTCCTCCTCCTCCTCCTCCTCCTCCTCCTCCTCCTCCTCCTCCTCCTCCTCCCCTCCTCCTCTTCCTCCTCCTCCTCCTCCTCCTCTTCCTCATCCTCCTCCTACTCCTCATCATCCTCCTCCTCCGTAGCCATTTTGGTTCAAGGCGCGATTCGGCCATGGGCGCGCGGGCGCGCGGGGGGCCGTGGGCGATATTTGCCCAACGGGTGATTCGTCCAGTTCTTCCTCCAGAGCCTCTTCCAAGCTCGTTTGTATTTTCCTTTAGTGCACCGTCCAAGCTCAATTGTGATTTCCTTCAGTAAGGGTTGATTCGGATTTCCACAATGGCGCATCATATTGGACAGGTCTTCCAGGATATGCTCAAGATAGATATCGCCAAGCCGGGGGCCCGTAAGGCTGCCAGTGTGGACAAAGAAGATGCTGAACGCAGCACCAAAGAGCCTCGCAATTCAAAAGGGGGAGCCAAGGGTTCGAATGTTGATTCTCTCGGAGAAAATGGCTTTGCCTTGGGTTCTTCAGGTTCCGCGGCCCCCGACACTTCGGGACTCCTCTCACAACTGGAAGCCCTACTGGACAGAAAGTTTTTTCCTTG